TGAGAGAACGACGATGCTTCTCAAATTCAGAAGTGGAACATGTGGTGTGCTGTAGCTGAACATTAAAAGGACAAATTAAAAACTATACTGTGTTGGGTGGATCAAATTCTCCCATGTATAGCATGTGACCTATATGCCTGACATACTAACATAATATTATAACTTAACAGTATGCGCTGGAGCCCGAAACAGCTGTCAAACTTGACCCAGTTTGGAGGCAAATCGAATCCCCAGCCGCTTAATCTCCACCGAAAGAAACGCTTGCCTAAGCTTAAATTTCAACGGACAACGTCTCAACAATAGTTTAAGGATTGTTCAGAAAAATGGAAGCGTGCCAGTCTCATTTTCTCTAAACTGATTTTTTTTTTTTTAAATTCAGATTTAGGCTATATAAATATGTCCTGTTGCATTTTGTATTCTAAAACTAATCTGCCACAGATTTCCTACAGTCAGACCTGAATATATAAATTGATAACAGAAACCGAAACACTCTTTTAACTCCTTAGCGAAATGGCGTCCAATCAGTAGCAGACCAAGAAACAATGTTACTACAAATTTTGAACACCGTCATGCCCAAACCAAAAAACACGAATTTGCATGAATATTTCTTAAATGTTTGTCTTTGGTTGCCTTTTTAAGCTTTAGATCAGGAAAATAGAATTAAAAAATTTTCATGATTAAAGAAGTTACACTTCAAAACATCTCTTCTTGAAGCCTTGTCGAATAATTAGAATATGCTTCCCCAAAGAGTTAAGGTTAAAATGCTGAAGTCACTGAGCACGCGCATAGTTCATGCACCAACTAGTGAGGGTTACAATTAAATTTTTAACTTCGTGGGCTGACGGAGCAGGATGATACTGACGCGTAAACCAAGCAGCAACATTTTACCTGGTCTGGATTTCTTCTTAACGGGGTATTACACGTTCAGTTCAATCTGACCGTTATCTTCCCTCTTTGTGGTAATCATATAATAAATGATGCAGTCTTTGTAGAAATACATTTGAAACTATCTAAAACGGCCAGCCATTGTCGAGGAGAAATGTGGTGGTCTTTGATAAGTTAACGTCTTACACAGTGTCATTATTATGTTTTAAAAAAAAAACGCTTGGGGAGAAATGGGAAGTGGCCATTTGTGCAGGTATCCTTTAGAGCAGGTTGGACTGTACTTTTTTATGATCTTCATAATCCAGCAAGAAAATGAATCACCATCGAGTCATTATTGTCTTTTCTTTAATTTTGATGTGCTGGTTCCGAATTTGAAGTGACGTCGGTAGCCTAGTGGCTAGGCTACCGGACCCATAATAGTGCAGTGATATCATGGGTTCGGGGGTTCGAGCCTCAACTCGGTCTGATGTTGTGTTCATGGGAAAGGCACTTTACACAAATTTCCATTTGGTTCGGTCCTTTCGAAGATGGATGTTAAACTCGGAGACCCTGCCTCTTAAATTATAGCCTTTATAATCTGATAGTGTTGATAGGAGCGTAAAACATATCTACAGTTTCATAATCTGTTTCCGAATTTAATACCATATTTACGATGTTACGTACTTTTCAATAAGTTTAGAAAAGAACATTTTATCGTCGGTGGGCCGCAGGCGTTGGAGGGTGTCTAGAGGTTACGGTGTTCGCCTCTCTTATAATAAGTCACGGGTTCGAAACCTGACAGAGGCCAAAAATGTTTTTCGTCTCCTATTTCTGCCACCCC